TTTAGTTTTTAAATATTAATTTTGATTATTTAGATTTTAAAAACTAAAATAAAAAAACTCAAAACTATAATTATGCAATTTTCATAGTTTTAATGTTGATTTTAGTTTATTTGTGTTGGTAAATTTACTTGACAATTATGAGAAATTGCTTATGATGTTTGTGATTGTTTGTTTTCAAATTTTTGCTATTCAATTGATGTGGTACTTGTGGAAGCATATATATATATATATATATATATATATTAATTTAGCTTATGAAATTTCTAAGGGATTTATGCTGCTACAAAACTCCCAAGAATTTAATTATTGTCATTATCTCAAGTTAATTTAAAAAATTAATTAATTAATGTTTTAAAAAATTTAAAATTTTCTTAACTTATCAAACAGTAAAAAAATATTTAAAAAAATAAAGTTATTTTTCTCAAAAGTAAACGGACGCTTGCGTCCTTTTTTATGATTTTTCGAAAAGATTTAAACAATGCATCCAAGGCAAAAATGGTTACTTTATACGACGTCGTATAGGTGTAACCCTTCTGCTCTACCAATGGCGCATATTAAGCCCTCGCTCAACCCAAACCTGAAGGCTTCTTCCCTGTGAAGATTCCAGAGTTGATCCCTTTTTTTTCAGCACTTCGATCAACATTACTACTCTCCCACAAGCTTTGCCTTCCCGGCGTCGCCATTCATTAACAGATACGATCTAAGTTCTCCCCTTCGGCGTCCGCTTCTTCCTATCGTGAACCAGAAATGGCAATCTCTTCTCAAGCTCCTGATATTCAAGGAGAGCGTCAATCTGGCCGAGACGTTGGCACGCAGAACGGTAATTCCTCTCTACATCTCTTTACGTCTTTATGCGTGTTCTATTATCGCCGTCGAAGTTATTTTGCTCAATAAATTGCAAAACTGAGTTGAATCCAACCTTATTGAAGTGTTTTCCCCGCTTTAAGCTCATTTTTCTCTCATTTTGGATGCGTGTAACAGTGGTGGCGTGCCAAGCAGTTGCTAACATCGTAAAATCCTCACTAGGCCCCGTTGGACTCGACAAGGTATCACTACAAAAAAAAATGATTTTTGGTGACAGAAATTTGTGATGAATTTTGAAATCATCACTATAATTTATCATAATTATGACAAATCTAAAAAATTAGTTATAGATACATACATATTTAATTATGAACAAAAAAATTTATCATAAAAAATATATTTTGTTACCAAAAAATATTCATAAATATAAAATAAGCTTTTGTCGATAAAAATCATCATTATAATGCATTACAATTATGACAAAATTCTAATATTGATCACATATACTTTACACATTCAATGATGACCAAATAATTTAGCATTAAAAAATATATTTCGTCACTAAAAATTGTTAATTTTCTCTAATCAATGCATCCTACGTCAATAAAAAACACATAAGAGAATAAAGTTTTGCACTATAAATATATCCCACATCGACAAAAAATATTTAAGAAAATAAAATTTTGCATTATAAAACGTGTAAAACTCAATAAAACTTCAGATTAGTT